GAGATCGTTGCGCCAGAGCCAGAACGGCGAATGCCAGTACTATTTGATTGTTTACATTGTTTGGTTTTGGTGATGGTGTTTGTTGAGAGGTGTGTTTATGTTAATTTCGTTTTGAGTTCTCAATCAATCTCAGCTTTGATATTTGTGTATTTTTTTAATCCGTGTTTTCCAGTGGTTCATTGTGTTTTGATAGAGGACAATGATATCTCTGATGTTTAACAGTAGAACACCTACCTACCTCTAGTTGGAATGTTGAACCTAAAAGCTATACCAACATAATGATAAGCTGTAAGTTTTTATCATTATTGAACAAGAATTCTTATGATTTGGCCATTTAGCCTGTGCATTTCAATCTGTCTACACTTTTTCAGTGATTCAGTGTCTCCAAAATGAAGCTGAGCTCATAAATGCGGGCCACCTGGTTTTGGCTGGTCAAATGGATGCAAATGATTGCATTGAAGTATAATAAGTATTATGCCTTATTATGTTTACAGTCCACTGTGTGTGTCAGGTAAGAAGAACTCTCCCTAATAATGATATTGGTAAACTCCTGAAACTCAACTCTATATCATTGTTTTCAGGAAGAATGTGGGATCTTCCAGAGATATGAATATGCTTGGTTGACACAAAAAGCAATCAACAGAGGGACTAATACAATCAGTATTCCTGTAGATGAGATGCCCTGTTTTAAGAAAAAAATGAAGAGACCAGTTATATGAAACATAATGAATATTCTCAATTTTCCTATCACAAACAGGGTGGACCAGCAACTTCTTTTCTGGAAATGTCAAACCTGTCCTTGGTAGTTGTACTTTTCAAATGAATGTCACAAAGATCAACTATTGTTTTCCTTCAAATTCCACTTTAATTAATCCCCAGAGGAACCCTGAAATCCATTCAGAAATGAGGTCTTTCTCATGTCTTTTCTATGCCTTTATAAGACTCAGAAGAGACATTATAAAGATATCTTAAAGACGTCGTGATTTTTAACATCCGGCCTATAGAGGACGTCTTTCAGACGTCTCTAAGGCGTCCATAGACGTCTTAAAGACGTTGTGAACGTCTGAAAACGATGTCTTTAGGATGTCTTAAAGATGTCTTTGTGCTATCTGGGTAAATTTGAAATACATTGAAATGCTGTGTTCTACGGAAAATTGATTATCAACTGCAATTTGTTCGATGATATCGATCTCTTCAGTGAAAGCATGATCAGAGGAAGGAAGTGAGAAAGTTCTATGAAAAAAACTATGGGAATCACACTATTCGCTTCATAAAACGAAATATTACTGATAATGATTTGGTGATTTTGAAGGCTGACTAGGGCAACTGCATATAGTTGCCTCAGACAGAACTGCATTATTTTTCAAAGGTTGGTCCTTCATTTCAAATTATCCATTCGACATTTGTTACCCGATGAAAAATTCAGTTGAATTTGCTCAGAAGATGAAAAACGTTCATATTTTTCCTGTTTCTGTCTCAGTCTCTTTTGATGTTTAGCGCGTCAGCCGCGACCCGCTTCCTCGCCAAGCCCGACACGCCCCGATCCTCAGAGCCAATCCTTATCCCGAAGTTACGGATCCAATTTGCCGACTTCCCTTACCTACATTATTCTATTGACTAGAGGCTCTTCACCTTGGAGACCTGCTGCGGATATGGGTACGAACCGGTGCGACGCCTCCACGTGGCCCTCTCCCGGATTTTCAAGGTCCGAGGGGAAGATCCGGACACCGCTGCAACTGCGGTGCTCTTCTTTCAAACCATATCTCCCTGCTAGAGGATTCCATGGAACTCGAACGCTTATGCAGAAAAGAAAACTCTTCCCGGATCTCCCGACGGCGTCTCCGGGTCCTTTTGGGTTGCCCCGACGAACTCTCTTGCGAGGGCCCGACTCTTAGACGGTTCCGCTGCCGGGTTCCGGAATAGGAACCGGATTCCCTTTTGCCCGACGGGTGTGTTCGAAGTTCAAACGTATATACAATATAACACATTCGTAAAACTACACCACATCAACATCGGCTTTCGCCTAGGGCTTAGGATCGACTGACTCGTGTGCAACGGCTGTTCACACTGAACCCCTCTCCACGTCAGACCTCCAGGGCCTCGCAGGAGTATTTGCTACTACCACCAAGATCTGCACCGACGGCGGCTCCAGACGGCCTCACGGCCAGTCCTTCTGCGCTCACCGCCGCGACCCTCCTACTCGTCAGAGCTTCATGACCGCCCCGAAAGGCGGTCGCACATGCCACTGACGGTCGAGTATAAGCACAACGCTTCAGCGCCATCCATTTTCAGGGCTGGTAACTTCGGCAGGTGAGTTGTTACACACTCCTTGGTGGATTCCGACTTCCATGGCCACCGTCCTGCTGTCTTAAGTTACCAACGCCTATCATGGTATTCCATAAGCGTCGATTTAGGCGTTTTAACTCGACGTTTGGTTCATCCCACAGCGCCAGTTCTGCTTACCAAAAATGGCCCACTTGGCGCTCTGATTCGAGTCTCGCGGCTTCATGAGTTCGAGCAAGCCAGAGATCTCACCCATTTAAAGTTTGAAAATAGGTTGAGGTCGTTTCGGCCCCAAGGCCTCTACTCTAGAGAATTTGTTTCCTAGTATTTCCCCTGATGATTGAATTTTTCTAGTCATAAATTTACTTTTGGATGATTATATCTTATCACATCATATTTCAGAGATCTGCAATTCACTTTCTTTGGTCCTGAATCAAAACTTTTTTCAATTCAATAAAGGATTTCACCGCCAAACTACCGGGCAGTAATCTATCTCCCTTGCTAGCAGAAATCTTTATGAATAACTTAGAAAACAGTTTTTGAATAACCCAAATTTCAATTCTGAACTAGTGTTTTATGTTGATGATTGTTTATTATTGTTCAAAGAATCCCTTCCGGATATTTGAGATTTTCTTGCTCACATCAATCCTCTCCACCCTGATATTAAGATTACCATAGAGGCTGAATCCAATTCGGCTCTACCATCTCTCGATTTACTCATTAGAACAAATTTTTCTACTTTTAGATTCGAATTTGAGGTTTACAGAATACCAACTGCAACCGATTCTATAATCCCGTTTTTTTTTTCAATCACCCACATTTCCGTACGCAGCTTCCAATAGTTTTTCCCATAAAGCTTTCTCACTTCCTCTCTCTGATCATGCTTTCACTAAGGAAATCAATATCATCAAACAAATTGCAGTTGATTATCAATTTCCCTCAGATCACATCATGTCAATTTATTTCAACTTCAATGCTGCTTATATAGGTCAAACAGAAAGACGTTTTGATATTCGATTTTCTAAAGATGATAGACTCATTAGAACATTTTTTAACGCTCTTGATCCTACTTCCCCATCTTCTATTGGCAATCATATCATAGATTACAATCATTCTTCTGATGTTGTCAGAAATTCTGGAATTCTTCATATTATCTGTGATAAAGGTCCTAGATTTAATCTGCTTGAAATCATGGATATTCAGAAATACATCAATAACCAGCATGTTTCATGTAGCGATGATCAAACTAATTTTTTTGTACGTAACCACATTCTCAGGACTTTATCATTTTCATGACTCTTTATTGGTGTTCCCCTTCTTTGCAGTTACCTCTCCGCTTCGGGATATCTGATTGTCTATTCCTCCCTACCTTCTTATCATTTCCCTGCCACACTTTTCTCTTCTTTTGTTTCATTCTCTTCTTCTTCTTCTATTTCTTTGATCTGTTTCCTACATGCTCAGTTCTATTCCTCGCACCATTCTTCTTCTTGATGTTACCTCAAGATTTATTGTGTCAGTTTAGCACATGTCACTTACTAATATGTGCTTCGTGTCCAACGTGTCCAACGTAAAAGTCATTTTTCTTTCATAATTGTCAATTTTTACAATTCTCGCAGTTCCTTTTACTCTTTTAGTACTGACGGCAAACTGATGCTGATGTTTGTATAAAAACAATTTTTCCCGAAATCATGTTCAACATAATCAGAGCCAGTTTTTTCAGTAAATTCAAAAAATTTATACAAATGCTAAAGATCCTTTCAACCTGTTGAAGAGAATCGTTTGTAGTTACCATGATTCACTGTTTTTACATTTTGAGTCCCATATTGTTTGGTATGTTTGAAAAAATTGTTTCAACTTTGTCGGGTTCCGTTTCACCAATCTGCAGGGATAACCGTTACTTCATAGTGCTTTTTATTCCCCCTCCTCTTTATTTGCGAACAATGATCGAAATGATCAAAAATCAACTCGAGATTATGGAATAAATCACATATAAACCCGTTTTTTCAATTGGCCAATGCTAATACGCCTTCTAGCAACTGTCCTGATGACTTGGGAAAACCTCTCACTATTTCCTCTTATTGAATATGTCATATACCATTTTAGATCCTTGAGATATCGAAAAATATCGAGAGATATACTTACTAATATGAAAATACGAGATCAAACGATGTCCATCGAATCAGAATATACTGTCGATTGAGTCATGTATCAATTAACATATTTTGAATTGAGCTCTTTTCAACCTTGAACGAGAGAGAAGAAAGTTCTTTCCTCCTTCATCTTTTTTTCATCTAATAAATCTCCCCTTGTCTGATCTACTGAACTATTTTTGCTGTTATAATGATGTGACATAACTATGTCATGAATGTAATTGACTGATAACCTTTCGAATTATATCATACTTTTCTTGACATCATTTGTTGATATCGTTGAAATTTTACTCTCTGCTGAATTCAAAAATAGTTCAGTGGCACAAACTAGATGTTAGACAACGACAGATTGGTCGGCCTCTCTATATTTCATTGCGGCTACATTGGTATCATTGAAGAGGAAGATGGAAGAGGAGATAACTTTCCCCTCTCTCGTTCAAGATAAAAAGACCTCAATTGAAGTGGAAGTTACCTAATAAAAGATCGAAGATCTGTCAAAGCCCTACGTATTTCATCTACCTATTTGTATTGCTAGGAAATGATTTTTTCAAAACAATCCTTTTTTAGGAATTTGGAGCCCAGGAATTTTTTGAATTCATTGCCGTTTATGGTATCTTACACCTCTACCTATTCAATAATGAATGCAAGTTTCATAGGAGTGATCTTTGGAGTGATATATTTTGAGAATAAATATAAACAATTCAATATAAATGGGGTGAGTATTCCAATGATAGAATGGTTCGATGGACCATCATACCAAGGTTGTAGATTGAAGCCAAGATTCTCCTGGGCCATGTCGATCTTCTTTTTCAATTTGACACATTCAGAAAAAATCAAATATATAGGGGAATCCACGTTCGGGTTATGACGTTTTTTTTCAAATAGAACACCCTATATATATATTATTCAATTCTTAGAATCTCCATAGAAAATTTAATTGAAAAATATATATCACTTAGAGTTTTTATAAAGTGCGTCCATTGAATTGGGTGTTCACTAAGCAAGCTTATAAATTCTTTCTTAAGGAAAACTATTTCTCAATTCATGTTTGCCGCGTAAAATTATGTACTGATGAGTTTCACGTCTCTTGGTTGATCTCTGTCTTTCTAGCCGAAAACATCCGCTAGAAAGAAAGAGATCAACTACCACTTGAACGGGTAACATCATGATTGTTGATAGAGCGATAATTATACTCACGCTTCATTCTTGGTTCTTGGCTCTCAACAGTTTGCTAGCTATAGAGTGGATGTATCAAATGCATCAAATGCACGAGGTTTTGTCTTCTCACCAAGGTTATAATTTTTCAGATAACAAAATATATGTAATTTTTCAGAGTACCTAGCTCACGACATGTAAATGAGTCACTAATGACAAGTGATTAAGTCACTAATGAGAAGTAAATCAGTCACTTATGACAAGTGGATGAGTCATTAATGACAAGTGCTGTGTTCACTAACAGTCATCAATCTGAAATACATTGGAACAGGTTGATAGTGGTAGCGATGTACATTTTCAAGAACACAAATATTTTTGTAGTTATAAATTTGTTACCTTGTCCCAAATAGTGAGCAAGTTTCTATTCGCCCCTATTGAATATTCATTTAGGGTAAGTGATTTTTTTTCCGTGTACAGAAACTATTTTTTTAATTCTCAACGAATTCATCTACTATTTCACGAGCGCATAAAATCCATCGGAAGCACTATATACAAAACCTGAATCCAGCTTTCCATGGAGATCCGAACAATTCAATTATACATAGTAGGTTGCATTTGAGAAAATTTTCGTGGACGTCATTATGCAAACGTGTATATTAAATTTTTCAATGTGACGAATCGAAAATAAAAATCGAATTTTCTCAGGAGCTTTCTCAGAAATCAATAGTTTGGCTAATAAAAGAGTTCATAAAATTCTTCAAGAGAGCACCTAATTTACCGAACGCACTGTATACAAACGTGTAATATAATTTGAATTCATCAGCTCCATGAAGATTCCAAAAATTGAATTGAAAAAGTTGTCGCAGACGTCATAATAACTCAAACGTGGATCTCCCTGTATATCTGGTTTTTTCTAATGAATGTGGTAGATTGAAGATTTAAATCGACCTTTCTCAGAAGATATATCTAAAATATAGATAGTTTGGCTCAATATGAAATTATTCTGTACTTTACGAAAGCACTGTATGCACCCAAAGTAACCTTAGCCAGTCTGAGACCTTAATTGTAGATTTTTTCAGATTCCATATACAGGGTGAGTCATGAGGGACTGTACATACTCCTACCACGAATAGTGGCCCCTGACCATACGAAAGTGTCTTCTCCTCTTCTTCACAAATACTTATATAATTATAAGGTGAATTATGGGAATTGGCAGAAACATCTTTTGGTCATAACGTCCCAACAGCTCCTTCGATTTGTCTTATATTTTCATGAAATATTCTGCTACTACTATCTAATTGACTGACTTATTCAAAATCAGGAAAATCCAGGACCGTTCTTGAAACATTTTGCTACTTCAATTTATATCAAAAAGTTCATCCTGTATATGGTTTTCGTTAACTGTGACAGGGGATATTCAGAGGTCACCAACGAACATCAGAAATAAAATATCCAACATTTTTCTCACACTTTCCTTGAATTTTTCAAAAACTAAACATTTCTAGAAGAAACGAAATATTGAAAACAAATTCATTCATCTGAAAATCAATACTTCGCAACGCATAAATTTCACGATTGAAAGTAAGACATATACATTCTCAATATTTCAGCTCAATGGGAATCAGGCCTGGATTTCGTCATTTAATTTTTTTTTGTAGGGTATAATAATCACCGTGTAGATCTTTTACGAATCAGTGGATGGGAAGGTATGTATGGATGTTGATGATGACCATCGATTTGAATAATTTTATGATTATTATTTCTCAATGTCATCGATTCGATTTGTGTTATGAAGTTATTTCGGTCACTGCTTATTCGCCGTACAGATGAATAATTATTATCATCATCTGTTATAGTATTCTTATAAAGAATTGTGAATGAACCCCATTTTCCGATCGACTCTCTAGAATTATTCGAATCGATTGTCATTGATATCCATTCAGATACCCCATGCACTGATTTGAATGAGATCTACAGGGAGATTATTATACCCTCCACAAAAATATAAAATGAGGCAATCCAGGCCTGGAAATCAAGGAACATGTTGGTTTCCATTGAGCTGAAGCATTGAAAGTGTCAGCTTACTTCAAATCGTGAAATTCATTTGTTGCGAAGTATATATTTTCGAATAAGTGGGGAACACACAAATCACCAGAATGTAAAATCGCAGATCCGTAATCCATCAGAATATACATTTTCAAACCAGTAACTTAACAGAACAATATTTTATAGGAATCGTATTTATCTCTACTGTAGATGCACAGAACCGCAATCCCTCAAACCGTATTTTGTATACTGTACATGAGCATACCAGACAATAACAGATTGCAAATGCGCAGATGTGTATTTTTCTATAATAGCAATATCGCAGATCCGCAAATATACAGAATCGAAAACTAACAAACCAACATCACAGCGGAATGATATTTCGTCAGAATCATAACAACACAGACCGTAATTCGTCAGAATCGCAGAATGACAGACCGCACATTAGCAGACCGTACTTTGTCAGAATCGAAATACAACAGACCGTTTATCGACAGAATAGTAAAATGTCAGAACCGTACATTGACAGAATAGCAAAAAATCAGAACAGCATATTCACAGAATCTCAAAATATCAGAACTGTAAATTGAAAGAATCGTAAAATGCTAAAACCGTACATCGACAGACTCGTAATACAACAGACCGTATTCCATCAGAATCATATTATATCAGAACGTACAATGACAGAATGTACTTCATCAGACTGTTATGTCATATACTGTATTGTGATAGAATCGTAAACCATCAGAACCGTAATTCAGCAGAATAGTAAAATGTCAGATCCGTAAAATAACAGAATCGTAAAAATTCAGAACCGTACATCGACAGAATCGTGAAATATAGGAACTGTACGTCAGCAGAACCGTAAAAAATCAAAACCGTACATTGGCAGAATCGGAATTCATCAGAATGTAATGCAGCAGAACCGTAAAATGACAGACTGCAGAGAGGCCTACCAGCCACGCGCAGAGCGAACGCCGGTCACAGTGTTGCCTGCTCTCACGTCATGTGGGGATTCTACGTAAACTTTCAGTTCGACCTGCTTTTATGTTCCTATTGCTCTTGTACACTCGAGAATAAGATCGTTCATATGATATGAAGTGATGAATGACCACATTTCAATATGAAATATATGAACGTCACCCAACTTTTTTGCTATATGGAGAAGAAAGTGTTTATTTGAAGTATTTTCTTAAAAACTACAATTCCTTGGAGTCAGTTGAGAGAAGGGTTCGAGAAATAGGTGTTTGGCATGTTACAAGTGTTTGGGATCCCACGTTAAAAGGTAAGGCCCCCGTCATTAATTGCTCGCACAAGACTTTCGAAGACTTCTGAGGGTTGCTCGTAAGGGGGCAACCGAATGACGGATAAAAAAATTTTACAATTTTTTTTTACAACAAACTTTGGAGTTTTCAAAGTTTGATTATAGATACAAGATATTGGATGTTCTTTATATGAATCTATGTCATACCCAAATTCATTCATTTTGTATTTTGTACCCATATTTCTAGAAAAAGGAAGAAGGTGATACGAAACTAGATTGAAATCGAAGTTCAGCTACGGAATTTAGTTTCGAGAATTCTTTATTAACGATAATTAGTGCTGTGCTATGGAAGCTATTAAATAAACGTTCTTGTCTATCTGATTCTGATTCTGATCTATATCAGGTGACCTTGGACCATAGGCGCCACCAGATAAAAATAGGATATAGGGCGGACAAAATTCCAAAATATCCACTCGTCAAAACTGAACCCATCACCAGTTCCTAAGCAGTTTTTTGAACAGCCTCTGTGAATCTGAGATAGAGCAATCAATAAAACAATAATTGATCTTCGCATTGTCGAGTTTAGACGAAAATGTAGTTTACCAAACAAATGCCGAAAGTCCTACTTTTCCGCACCTGTTTATTTAGATATAAAGAAATACATAGAGAATTCGCATTCGGTATGTGATGAAATTATCAATTCTTTCTCAGTATATTCAACAGAAAACAACTACTTTCCTGGCTGCGATTTTACTAAATATACTGTACGCTAGCACAAATCACGCCGACCGTAATATCTCATCTTCGAAGTACTTAGGCAAAACTCAGAAACTATTTATCCTTAACGAACTAACCTATCCCTGATTGCAATATTTTTGTGGAAGGAAAACCGAATGGAGTGTAGAAACACATTGATTAATAATATATTTCAAAAGTTGAGTTCTTCAACAAAATTGAATAAAATGAGACTGTTCATCCTAAACGCACTAACCTATTTGACTTCAAATATTTTATGAAAAAGGAAAACCAGAATGAAGTAAAAAAACAAAAAGTTGCAAAAAAAAGTTCAAGTTCACAGCGATTCGAACCATGGACCTTCAGACTGAAAGTCGACAGCGCTAACCAGCAGACCATTTGGGTGTATGAATTTACTGCGTACAGAAAAAACATGTTCAACACAGAAGTGCATTTGCAAAACAGAGGATGTATTTCGTTGTACTGAATGTAAATGTAACGCTCATTATAAGAAT